TTTTTTTTGCTTTCTTTCTTAAAGAGACGTTTCCTCATTTTTAAACAGTCGTCTGAACAGAAAGGGGAAGATCAGCAGCAGCTCAGCGACTCGCTGTGTGTCTGTGTGTGTGTGTGTGTTTGTTTGCATGTGTGTTTGTGTGCAATTAGCAAGATGAGGATTTTGGTGTTACTGCCCGACCATGAGAAGAGGAGGATTAAATCGGAGGTAAAATATCCAGCTTGTATTTTTTGAGTTTGGGGAAAGTTTGACCTCTGACCTCTGGACTGCAGCTGCTCATTGAGGAAATGCGGCGTAGTCGCCTTAAAGAGAAAACCGATTAAAACTGGGTTATTCATCCAGACTGATGCTGCGTCTGCTGGTTTGCATTGTTTTTATACTTTAAACACATCACTCTCAGCTGCTTTTTAAACGTTTTATAGGCTTATCTGTTTAATCCCAACTTTTTTTCATTCATTCTTGTAATTTCTCTATAAATCTGCTGCAGTTTGGCTGTAGCCTCCAGATGTTTCCTGCTCCCTTTGGTGCCCAGAATCAGATTTTTCTTTTGAAAGTATCTGCTGTTTAAATTTGAGTTCTTAAGGAAAGCTGGCGTTTCCTAGAAAGATGATAAGAGGAGCTTTGAGCTGCAGGGCTGTGCTGATATGCACGGTAGTCAGTCAGCATTCATTCAACTGAAGTTTCTGATCAACAGGCTGCAACACAAGATAAACTCAGCGGCTCATTTGTTGTCTGACTTACAGTTTAAGTCGCTGCAGTAAAAGAAAGTGCTCGGCTACTTTGCCTCAGTTTCAAAGAGAGCAAGGAGAGCAACTACTGTGGAGAGCAAGTTTCAGTCTTGCTCTCCACAGTACACTGATTACATTATTTGAAATGTATTAATCTAAATTAATACTTTTCAGCAGTTAGCTTTCATTCCACCCGCCTCTCTAATAAAGATCAACTTCTTGGTTTGTGTTGTGGTCTGACGAGATTTGCATTTCTTCCTCTTTCAGGCTGTTTTAGCTTTGGCTGTGCTCTTAATGCGCTCTGATTCCATATTTTAAGAAATCTTTTAGTTAAAATTGAGGGTACCCATAAACTAATGATGTCTCTAGCTGGGTTTGTGTGGTAGGGAACTGAATTTGTAGTAAATCCCAGTTTAAAGAGGAGTTGTTCCACTCATCCAGTATTTTCTGTCATATATGTAATGTTACAAAGCCTGGTGTTCATATTAATTATGAACGACATTCACATTGCTCGAGTTATTTTATATTATATATTTTATGCGGTCAGGCACAAAAAACAAAGCACAGCCACCAAGTACAGCTAGCACTCGGTGCTGCCCCTCTGTAGGCTGCTGGAAGCCGGCCAATCAGAAGAAAGTGTGGATTATTAGATCATTTGGACTGAATCAGTCACAGCTACTTTAGTTGAGTCCAAGAAGTGGAAACGATGATTTTTCCACTTCTTGGACTTCCTTTGACTTCAGATACGATTGAACCTCAAATGTCGCTATAAAATCTCTTTTCTTGGTAAACTTTGACACAGTACAGTTTTCCAGCATAATTATAGTAAGATTTAGTTCCAAAGAGTAACCAAATACAATTAAAATGACAATAAAATAAGGTAAAAAAATCAATTAATCAATTAGTCTGTCACATTTTTTTAGGTTATTTGTATAAAAACAGCATGAAATAAAACTCACAGCCAGGCCCTGATTTACTGTCATTTTTGTATTTTGATCTCAAATGAAAACGTAAAGAAGCTAAAATGTCGATGAAGCTCTTAAAAATGTGCCTGTAGAGGAGATTCGTCCCCAAACAGACCGTGCAGGCCGGCAGGAGCTGGTTTCTGTTTCTGTCCCTGTTATCTGCGAGCCAGTTGTTAGCACAGCTTCCTGTTCGATCAGCAGATTCCTCAGTTTCTCACTTTAGTTGATGAGAGCTGACAGAAAAGTCAGACCTTAAACCAGCAGACGTTTCATTTCTGCTCCACGGTTCATCCGCTACACAGAGCTCAGGAAAAAACAGTTTTAGTTCAGCGTGGTTTTAAAGTTGTCGCAGAACATTTAACTGGAGGCTCCTGATTCATGTCCAGTTGCTCAGTAGTCCATCCACGGTGGTGGTTTGACTTCCATGTTATTTAACAGCAGCTGATTGCAGAAACTGTGACCTCTGACCCCTGTGACAGCAGGTTAGCTGCTCAGACTCACCAGAGTGACGTGTGTGTGTTTGTGCATAAATGTGTGTTTTCTGGACTTCGCTGTTGACAGGAGGAGGGGGGATAATCTACCTGTCACTCATCTGATTCTGTGCTCTGATTGGTCCATGCAGCTCGCTGATCCTGAGAACTTGCTGGACGGGTATGGTGGCAGCGGCGGGAACTCCATGCCTACGCTTACCGTTAGTAACAGCTGCCCAGCCAACCTGCATGCCGTCAAGAGAGAGCTGACTGGTAAATATCACACACTCAGGTTACATGTTACCAGATACCACAGACTGTAGATGAAAGATGGTGGACAGTTGGGCTTTGTGGACTCTGCATTTTGTGCTTTAGCTTCATCACGTTGGGTTGCTATCTTTCTGGAGCCAGCAGCAACCATACTTGGATATGAGGAGGGAGTGCTAAGTTTTAAACCTAGCAAGCTTGGTTAGCGAGCTGTTAATTGGCGCTAACAGATGAACAAAATGCTAGAAGGGTAGCACCACACTGCACAGTATTATTCCATTTCAGCGAGTGCAATTCGCAGCAACATCATTTGTTGTTTCAGGCTGTAAAGATGTTTGTTTCTGCTCTGAAGCTGGACATTTCAACACGGAGGTCTGTAGGATTTACTTGCTTTTGGAGTTAGCTTTAAGTGGTCATTAGGGGAACGGCAATTTTGGGCTTTGCTGTGTTGGCTTCAGTTTTCAGCCCCGGAGTTGCTACTTGGCAGTTATGCATCAGTTCAGGGAATCTGAGTCAGGATGTGAACCTGCAGACTTCTCATCAAAGAGGATGTTTGTCAGCAGGACAAGGAAGCATTTTCACCATACGTGATTTCCAGGAGCTCGAGCTGCAGACAGAAAGTCGTACTTATAAATATGCAGCCAATGATTAGACTTTGAGGTCTTCCGAGTGCATTAAATCACCTGCAGGGGGCGTCACAGTGACCACAAACACAGTTTACGTGAAAGCTTTTCAGATTGTAAAACACAGACCCCTTGCAGGAGTGAGCTGCTGTGATTGGCTGCTCCTTCACGACGATTCGTGTCTGTCGTCGCGTTCCAGCGTGCCGGGAGCGAGGCCCTTCGCTCTGTGCTTCCCTCTTGTTCCTCCTGGCTGCAAATGTGTTCTTAATTTTGATGAGTCAACATCACGACTTCCTCTGAACACGCACACACGGCCACGGCAGCCACTCGTATTTTCCCACATCATCAGTTCCAACTTCCTGTTCAGTCAACATGAACTTTTTGTCCAAGCTGAAACTGACATTCTGCCGTTTCTACGCTACAAAACAAGCGACATTAAAAAACACATGAAACAGAACTGACAGCTGTTGCTGCAGCAGAGAAAAGTCACTCATGATGAACTCACGATATTGATTGTAATTGATTTTTGATGTTGTTGTTGCAGAGGTGGAGTCCAAAGCTCTGATTAAAGAAAGGCAGAAGAAGGACAATCACAACCTCAGTGAGTACAGCAGTATTACTTCACCAGCCAGTAAAATATTTGTGTTGCTGTGTGGCATTCTTTCAGCAGATCTCAGAGGTAGATGTTGAGCTGATTCACACCTGCAGGTTTCAGGTGTTTCTGATTCCTGACATACTTGTGCCGACACACGTGCACGCTCCACTATAGAGAGAAATCTTTGGCTATAATACCGCGGAAGCACTAGCTGGTAGTCGGGCCGTACGCGTGTCTTAGTGCAGTTGAACATAATCCACAAAGTCCGCTTGTAGTCGAAAAACAAACAGGCAAACATTTATTTCCACAGTGATCCATTTGAATGTTCATGTACACTGCAAACACGGTAAGAAACTGTTTTTCTCCACAGCTAGTTAAAGCCCCCGTTGCTCCACACTGTCCGTCGCAAAACGCTCCCCCCGTGCACAGTTACCGTGTGTTAAATGAACAGTACGTAAAAATTAAATAAGGCAAGAAAAAATACAATTTAACTGTAAATCTTACACTAAACAAATTATAAAGTAAAAACTGAAATTCCCCATTATCTTACACTTATCCTTATCCAAAATGATTCAAATCATTAACAAATATACACTCTGTGCAATCTGAGTAAACTAAGAGATGATTAGACCTTTATCCTATACAGGCTACTTCGCAGCATGTTGGACGGTCAGAGCCGACTGGAAAACATGTCTTAAAAGAAAAGCAGTAAGAAACTTAAACTCGCTATAAAAGATTATTAAAAACAAATTAAACTACTAAATCTTAAATTCAGTTTAAATATTCACATCATAAATATCATGTTCAATATAGACAAAATACAAGTCATGACAGTGTCACGAGGCGGAGGTGGCCACAGGTGTGACGTTCTGACTGCGGCAGGATGAGTGCTTTGCTGTGGCCGTCTAACACGTCCTTTCTGTCACCTCCACATCCACAAAGTTACTGGACTGTGGATCTGTTTATTGAGTCTGTTGTGGCCACTGCAGACTCATAAAACATCTTGAGCATCATCCAGCAGATGTTGAAGATCCTCAGCCGTCTTTGTTGAGGGCTTCAGAGTTGTGTGAAGCCCAGTTTATTGTCAGTGTGAACACTGAGCTTTGTTAGGAAGTTGCATCAATGAAGTGTGCAGGTATCCTGCACTGCAGAGATATCAGCTCAGCACAGACTGATAAAACACTGTGACTCCCTAAAACTGTATCACAAACCTCCTGGATGATCCGTACTTCACAGTAAGTCGTATATTTGTCACATAGTATAATTTAAATGCTCCAAAAGCACAAACAGTTTAGGCTTCCACTTCATTGACTCCAGTTAGCAGAAGGAAGTCCTAGCATCCTCCCGCCCCCGTACGAAGTCTAAAGAGAACTGGCTCACTTACGGAGCCAGCCTCGAGCCCCGCCCTGCTTGGCAGCAGGTAACTTCAGGTGAGGAGAGAGCGTCGCATAGTTCGGCTTCCTGAGTTTGCAGCTTCACATACCGCTCTGCTGCAGCGCGTCTCGGTTTGAAGCAGGGAACAGAGAATTTTCTGTCTGTAATAAAAGATGTGGAGAACATCCGATCGAGACTCATTCATCTGATTGTTCTCTCATAGCTGAAGAAGTGAAACTGGTGGCTGGGAGCATTTCATTAAAAAAAAACACCAGTTGGGGGGGGGAGGTGCGTGACCCCATGAAGTGAACTTTTAAGGGTCAGAATGGAAATGAAACGATCAATATTGCTAAAGGAAAACTTTGATATTTAATGTAAAAATTCAAATTTGACGCAGATGATTTGAAGGCACGTATCTGTCCTAACTGAAGCCTGAGATCTGCTGACTGTCTGATTCTTATTCCTGTTTTTCGTCACCTTTGGTTTCAAAATGCTTCTGTTGCTGCTTTTATTGCAACATTTTTCCCGTGCAGAGTTGTATAACTGCTGCCGAATGCATTGACATCTGCACGCTAAAATAATGTCGATGTGTTCCTACAGTCGAGAGGAGGCGGCGCTTCAACATCAATGACCGGATCAAAGAACTCGGAGCTCTGATCCCTAAATCCTCTGACCCGTTAGTAAACGCTGCACACTCACACTCTGTACACTTACACTCCTGCTGGTACCAGTAGTACAACAAAAGCAGAGACACAAAGTGACTACAGAGACATAAAGAGGAGATTTTGCAGATTAATCAGTGAGATGTTGGCTTATTTAAAGTGATACAGCTGACGTTTCCATTTAAATAATCTTTGTAAGTTTTATTTGAAATTGAAATTTGATATACATTTTTACATAGACTTTTAGTTCAGCACTCACGTCTGTACGTGTTGGCAGCAGCACCTCGTTATCCTGCCGTGTGTTAACGAGGCACTGAATGTGATTGGTGTTTTAGTGAGACGAGGTGGAACAAAGGAACCATCCTGAAGGCGTCGGTGGATTACATCCGCAAGCTGCAGAAGGACCAGCACAGAGCCCGAGAGATGGAGGACAGGCAGAGGAGGCTGGAGAGCACCAACCATTCGCTGATGCTCCGCATACAGGTGAGCAGAGGGGGCGGGGTGTGGTGGTGGTCTGAGCTACTGTGACTTCTCCTTGTCTATCACATGGACGTAGCTGCAGCTCCACAAACTTTCTTTGTTTTGCAGGAGTTGGAGCTTCAGGCCCGCGTCCATGGCCTCTCCTCTTCCTCCTCCAACTCACCTCCCCCGAAGTCCTCCTCCTCCTCTCTGGACCCCCAGACCCTGCTCTCTACTCCACTGCTTCACCCCTTTTCCTCTTCCTCCGCCCCCTCCTCCTCCTCCCTGGTGACTCCCTCTCTGGGTCTAGATGCTCTGACTTTTACGGACCTGGATGAGCCTCAGGGAGCCGCCACCGTTTTCTCCCCAGACCTGATGTCTGACATGGGGCTGACTGACCTGAACGGCCTGGGGAGCCTCCTGATGGAGGACGGGAGCGGGGCAGGAGTGATGTCCGACCCTCTGCTGTCCTGCGGAGCTTCGAAGACCAGCAGCAGAAGGAGCAGCTTCAGCATGGATGAGGATCTTTGATGACCCCATCGCGCACAGGGATCTGATTGGCCAGAACTGAAGGCGGGACTTCATTTTAAATTTTTTTTTAGGGAACTGCTTTCAATCTGTGACATCATCAAAGCAAAAAACACACCGAGGTGTGCAGTGTAACAGAAACCATCAGCATGTCTTCCAGGGGACTCCCCTTTGTCCTGAAGTGTTGTTGTCACAGCTGTTGTTGCAAACCCCAGTGTCAAAATTGTGTTCAGGTTCCTCACACGCACTCACCTGAACCGCTGAGACTCAAAGAATCATGATTTTTTTTTTTTTAAATGTGGATTTTGGAGGTTTTATAAAGTAGTCAAAAATACTGAGACATTGATTGTTCCTCAGTTCATTCCTGTAAATATAAATGAATCTATAATCACTGTGCTGGAAAACTGAGTAGAGATTTTTATTGGATCAGAGGAGTCTGCATAGCTTCAGGACTTTGATTCAGTTTTATTTTTAATATATGCGCTGCCTGTTTGAAACCGTGTCCAGAGCAAAAAGAAGGGAAACTTTTGTAATCGGCCACCAATCCTTAAGAAAACTGTTCATTTCAGTTTGTTTCATCTTTAGAGTTTTATTAGCATTGAGACTCTTCAAATTAACATTTTAAGCTTCAATCAATTCTTGCTGATGAGTTTATAATCGTTAGCCTTCAATTAAACTAGCTACAGTTTCCATTGCTTGAGGCTAATTATAAGCTAACTCTTAGCTGCAGGTGTTTTGTCTTCAGGAACCCTCCTACCTTATAACAGAGAGGTTACCAAACAAGAACTTGTCGAGTTAGCTGTTAATGTTAAAACGTGCTCGCGTTAAAAGCTAACTAGTTACATACTGTTCATATTCTCCTACCTGCTAGTTTAGCTAGCTACTGTACAGAGCTAGCTGCTATCTGTGCTTGATGTAATTAGCTCTAGCTAAAATCGTGTCATCTTAGCAGCTATGTTTGTTTGTGGAACGATTTCCTCATATGTTACAGTCGCCGATGTAAATGTATCTGGGTTTTGTTGGAAATTTAAGGTGCTCTGCTGGTGATGCTGGTTAGGAAAAATAATACTGACTGCAGACAAGTTAGTAAGATGTGGGAACAGAGACACCAAGACACAAGATAAATGAGATCTCTGCTGATCTCTGTTACTTTATTACTGCATGATCACAACGTCAGCCCAAATGGCTGCCAACATCGCTCCCTTAAATATGGCAGACAACAGCCTGCAGACTGCGGTTCATGTGCCATGTGGGATCTTTGTGTTTGTGTCTACTTTTGTTTCATTTTCAACTACTGTTTGCCACATTTTTGGCTCCAAAACCAACATTAACCACGTTAAAATGCTGGTTTTTATTGTTTATCTGACATCTAATAGATCACCTTTGGAATCTTGGTTTCCTTCTATTTATCAGTAATTTGATGATACTTTTTTAAGACTTTGAGTAGGTGGTGGAGGGTGCCGACCAGTCATGTATAAGTGACTTATTGCAGTTGATAATGGCCATTTATTGGGCTGATGTCATATTTCCCAGGTGATACTAAATCATGGCCAAACAATAGTATTTTTTCCTGCTAATGTCATCTGTGCCGTGCACTACAAAGCAAGAATATATAGCATATATTCATAACTACAGCCATCTCAGGGCACTATACATTGTATATTACAGAGTTCACAAGCCATCAACTTGCTATGATCAGCACTTGGCAGCAGTAGGGAAAAAACCCTACCTTTATAACTGTAAAAATATGCAACAGAACCAGGCTCATGCCTTCATACCAGGGAAAATATGGAGGAAGGGTGAAGACGGGAAAGAGGAACTTAATTACAAGAAAAAAGCACTGAGCTTGTTGTGGCCAGTAAAACCTGTTGGGCTGTTATGTATTGTTAGCAATGCAAGTTACAGTAACACAGACTGTATGAACATACTTGCATTCATTTATTGATACAGGAAATACACAAATATCTGTTTTTATGCTTGGTCCTGATTTGCTGCCAGGTTAATTTTGCAGCCCTGTTGGTGTTTATCTCAGAGAATGTTTAATAAATGAAGTGAACTGCACTTACATTTGGTCAAAGCGATTTCTGGCAGATAGATAAACAGTATATTCACTTTAGGAAGGAACCAGATTAGCAGTATTCGACAGCATGCCTTTCTGGTTTTATTTAGAGAACCACTATAAAGTTTTGTGAGATCCTTCACAGCTCTCTGTGACCCGTTCTTCTTCACAGAAGAAGGCAGTGTCGCTTGATTGGTGCTAAATGACGCGCCAAACGCGTTACTGTGCTCACAGTTTGATAAAGAAAGGCTGATGTAACAAAGAATGTTGATAACTATTGTTGTGATACCAATTATCTCTGAATGTTGCATTAGGTGTAAGCCAGAGAAAACCTGTCTGTGTCCAGCTAGAAATGAGATTTAATACCTGAATAATGATGATGAGTCAGGTGTTCAGTTATGAGGATCAGGGGATTCTTGCATAAAGGGATTGCTGTTTTTTTAAAATCTATGTTTATGTCATTTATGTTTATCATATGTTTACAACCATATAGTTTGTCATTGTTTATTCTCAGTTAACAGTTTGTTTTATAGATCCATCAAGGTTCACATGCCAACTTTTATAGAGAAATAAATCATTAAACAGAAGTTTGTCTCATTCTGTGTTGTGTTTCCTCACTTACTGCAAAAAAGTTCTTTTTGTACAAGAAATCTCAAAACATTTATAACTTTGTAAAGACTTTTAGTAATAATATAATTATTTTAAATAATCTAGAAAACTCTGAGCAAAAGGTGTGCAAGTGTTCTGAAAGCTGCTAATTGTTACAATAAAGTAATATGTAGAGAAAAACAGTCTCTTTACAGCATCTAACACTTAGACCAGACAGGAGTCACTCTGTTCATGTCCAGCAGGGGGAGCCATTCTGCTGATTAACAAAACATCATTACAGTCTATGTAAGTCCATAACAAACATCCATTTATATGCCAGGAAATTGGAAGAATTATTCAAGAGGTACTCAGGAGCTTTAATGAAGTAAAATTTCTATAATAGCATTGTTAAAAAAAACAAAACAAAAGAAAACCTCCATTACAAAAATGTCCCGGAAGTAAAATTGTACTTAAACTTCTCCCTGCACAATGATTTCACAGGAAATCATAGGAGCCATGATAAATAAACTCTCAAGTCCTTGATTTGCCTCAGCCTCCTCATCCAGATGAAGTGTGATTCACAAGACCTCTATAAAGGAAACACCAGTGGAGTGGGTTGGAGGCCAGTTGAGGCCAGCTCTCCTGTGGTTCCACCGCCCACAAGAGTGGCTGTAGGGATTTAGTGTAATGTGGATAAAGAAGCAATCAAAAATTCATAAATGCAGGAAATATTTGTTCACTGGCCTTAAATATTTAAATAAATGACTTGTGTTAAATTTACTGTCCCTGAAAATGCTCTGGATAACATTGAAGCATGTCCCAAGTTCCTTTGGAGTCAACCTTCAGGATCAATAAAGTTTTATTGAATTGAATTGAATTGTAAAATACAAATTTCCACAAGAATATAAAATTGCTTCACCATCAAATCATTTAGTCAAGCAAACTAATGCATCTAGATTATTATAGTTTTACGAGCAGGCTATTACAAAGCCAAAAACCTACTTATATAAAAATGCTGAATGTTTGAGGTGAAACAAAAAGTAAAGATAAAACAGTTAACCTTTAACTTTATAACCTACATTAAAATTTATTTGAGTTTAATTAAACTCAAATCCACATGTTTATATACATCTGGCTCCAGGCCCTGATTTATATAAACATGTGGATTTGAGTTTAGTTTTAGCTTAAAAAAGACCTTTTTCCAGGACATGATCTGTTTCATACATGACAGCAGCAATTGTGGATCAACCTGCCAGTGAAAAAAACACTGACATGTTTGAATCTAGAAGCAGTCTGTGGGAAAATGTCACAGCTGTTTTGGTTACCATGTGTTTATTCTGGTTTAACTACCATTGTGGGGACAATGATCCGGGTCAAATGCTGTGAGGACATTTTGGAAAATGGGGACACTCTTTGAAAAGTGAGGGTCAGAGCTCCAGAGGCTGTCTAAAGGGTCAGATTAGATCCACGTTCTGGTTCAGGGGCCGGGGAAAGCAGTACGTTGATCACAGTGCTCGCCAGGACAAACGGACAAACGTGTGCATGTATCTCTCTTTGATGTTGGCCTGTCCCGGGTGTCAGAGGTCAGGTACCATTGTCTCTCCAGTGATTTCCTGCTTCCTGTTTGGACATCCTGGCACGCTGCTTTGACAAACACACCCGCTTCCTGTCCCCACAGGAGTTACTTCCTGCTCCACCCGGCCCTGCTCCCCCCGCTGAGCTGTCAATCAGAGACACGATGGCACTGGCTTTAGAAACTCTGAGTTTTATTTGTGCAGCGTTCAACAGCTCAGCAGGAAAACAAAATTCAGAGAATGTAAAACTGCTGTAACTCTGATAAAGGTTAGAAGTCATTTACCTAAGCAAGCCCAGGAGCTGTGACAATGTAACACAGGACAAATCGTGATCAGGGTGTGCGATTAGTCCACCTGGCTGTCATTCAACAGTACAAAATGCTCGGATGTGGAGTTTACTGTCATGAGAAGCTGTCAGATATTCCCATTTAACATTCTGGTATCAGACAAATGTCCTAAACTATTATTCAGAATCGCTGAAGATTACTTTCTATGGAAGCCTGTTTCTGCCATTAAATAAAAACAAAAAAACTAGTATTCATAACTCGAAATTTCGAGAAAGATAGCTCAAAATTTCAAGTTACTTTTCTCAAAATTTCAAGTAAACACAGGGATTTCATCATTTGTGAAGCCACGCTGAAAACACTCAGCAATCTGTGCATTCACGACTGGATGTAATACCGGTAGCTTAGCTGTAGCATTTGTAGCTGAGGGCTTCAGCTTCTGGGTAACAAGGAAATGACGTCATTCACGTAGATTACTGATTGGCAGCGCTAACTCGAAATTTCGAGTTACTTTTCTCAAAATTTTGAGTTAATAAGTCGAAATTTTGAGTTAATA